AGCCCATTTTCTTTACCCTAATTTCCACTATATAATCACCTTCTTGTCACACAAACCAGGGGGAGAAAAAAAGAAAAAAGGGAAGAGAAAAAGAGAGAAAAAACCTTGCCACAACACTGTTGGAATATCAAACTCTTTCAAGAACCCTAAAACCTTGAAATCCTTATTACAAATCCCTCTCTCACTACAAACAAAGTCATCTCAGTTACAAACCAACATCTTATTACTTCTTCAGTAAGGGTAAGGCTGGCTTGATCTCCATGATCAAAGGGCATAAAAGCATTCATGTCACTACTTTTCCAGTAAGGGTAAGGTTGATTTAATCTCCATGATCAAAAGGGTATAATCATTCATACATGCCATATTGTGCCTAAACATTAAATTTTTTCATATATTGGCTTTATTTGCATTTTATGATTTTATTTGATGTGTTTGTGAGATTCAACACTGCAGATTTAGACAGGATCCCAGGCAGGTTCATTAAGGAACGTTGAGGCCAAAAGGCAAATGGCCAGACTAGAAAAACTTATGCATGACACCAATACATGGCGAGGCAGACATTAAGCCAGAGATTAAGGGAACGTTGAAGCCAGAACACAAATGGCCAAAAGCCAAAAGCCAAAAGCCAAAAGCCAAATGGCCAAAGTAGAACAACTTATGCATGAAACTCAATCCAATGGCCAAAGAATGCAGACCACGGTACTCAGGAGTCAATACTTCAAAAAAACCTCCCCTTGGGCCAGACACCCCTACGGTTTGCTCAATTTTTAATTTTTATTTGTTTTTCCTTTTTATTCTTTTAATTGTTTTTTAATTGTTTTCTTTTAATTCCATAAAATAATTTTCATAATAAATATAAAATACAGAAAAATAAAAAAAAAATGTTTATTTTATTAATATTAATTTTACTATTATTATTTTTGTAAATAAACTTTAAACAATTAATTAGATTAATTTAGGTTTCAAAACTTTAATATTTTTCTTAATAAATTAAATATGTAGAAATTAGGGTTTTTAACTTTTTCATCATTTTTTTAATAAATAATTTTCTCATCATTATTATTATTACTAACTACTAATTTATTTTGTAAATAAACATGTACATAAATTCTTTAGTAAATTAAGTTAAACTTTAACATTTTCGTTAATAATTAAAAAAACTTAGAATTAGAGTTTCTTTTAATTTTAATTTTCTTTATTTCATAAATACAAAAAAAACTAAAAAACATTTCTTTCCTTTTATTAAATAATTAATTAGCTTTTTAATTTCATTTAATTTCTTTAAAGGGTCCAACGCCCTCGAACGTTCTATTTTTATTTCTTTTGCACATTTATTTTCTTTCAAATATTATGTAATTGCTCAAGCCATGTAACTCGGACATTTTATATTTCCCGCATTTTATTTCTTTATTTTATGTCAAATCGGGTCCTGGTTTAATTTGGCGATGTGGACCCGCGCCTTTGTAATAGCCTTAGATTTACTTTCCCGCAAATATTTTTTAACTGTTAACAAAAAAGCATGAAAGAATGTATGGCCTTAAATAAAAACAAGCGTAGAACACCAATAACATGACAAGATAAATGCAAATGAAAACGACACACAAATCACACACCACCCCTAGGGTACGCCTCACTGTTGCCTTGCCTCGAAAGGTGATCGTCGAGTAGAGGATGTCTTAGTAAGTCCTCATGATCCGGGAACCTGGCATGAGGGTAGCTTCTAAGGTGTCTTCCCATTGCTCTGGTGATCACCACGTCCCGAACCTTCGAATTGACCCGAACACCTCCAACGGTGGTGCTACCTACCTCTCAATGGTGGGATGGCACTACCTTTAAGGACATTTACACAGACGAATTCCTTAGGGTAGGTAGGTTCTCAAGGATACTTGCTCTCTTCAAAACAAACTGAAATCTTTTCACACCAACACATTTTCGAAAACTTTCAAAGCAAATTTTTCAAACACTCTGACGTACGAGTCGAACTGAAATTTTTCAAAGAAACTTTTTTTAAACCCACAGTTGAAAAGCAAACAAGCCATTTTTGAAAACACAATGAGCAAGTATCTAAGAGCCCATGGATAACCATGGATAGAAAGGGTGCTAACACCTTCCCTTTCTATAACCTACCTCCCGAACCGAGAGCAATCTCTTTTAAGGAATTTTTCTGTGCTTTTGTCCTTTCCATATTGGAGAAAATAAAAGACGGTGGCGACTCTTGCTTCCGCGACATTTCGCGAACCAGCGTTAAACAGTCAGTTCCAGATCCACCGATCACATTCTCCTTATTTGATTCTCTCTCAAGTTCCGACAACTTGGTGAATTTAGGCATCCTTTCCAAAAATTGATCCGACCAAGTTTCCTCCTCTTTTATGGAATGTGCCGTCCATTGCACTTTACCTTGAAATATAGTGGTTATCGTCCAAAAGTTTCAACAACTGTTGTATTTCGGACCTTGGACCTCTACACGCAATGACCAGTTTATAACGTTCATTGTATACCTGCTTGGTATTTGAAACATTTTGTGATCGTTTCCATTTCAAATCTGCAAGTATGTTTCTCGGGGCAACTTTGATTATCGATATTTTTGAAATAATTTTCTTCTCTTATGGCTTAAGTTGATCTACAAATGGATGACCTTGTAGCTTGGTGTCCAACACATTATTATGTTTACCGAAAATGACAGAAATCCACCATGTATCATCCACTCTAGATGATCCGCGCAATTTAAACGAACACTCACATTTTCTCGATCCGATGTCATCATGTTTTAACTTTCGAACTTTTGGTACATATTTTCCACTTTTCTCGCATATCATGGTTACAAATGCTTGCCTTCTACTAGTTCCATTGTCAGACTTTCCAATCACAACACCAAAGCCGAGTTTGCTAGCTTTCATTCGGACCCATTCAAGTAAATGTTGTCGATTATTGAAAACATGATCATTTGCGAATTGGTATTCAACATCTATGCCGATGACAATCGATTTACCGTTGTTCTTCTCCTTATCCGGCTTAGCATCACTATTCATGTTGTCCGAAACATCCTTGAAAAACATGTCAGGGTGCACCATATCTAAAACGGGCCAAAACAGAAAAATTGTTAATAATTGTGTTTCTGTAACGAGCAGTTTCAGAAATGTATTTGCGAAATAGGTTAGGTGGATTTCAGAAGTACATTTTTGAAGTGACACAGTTTTTCATCTAAAAATCAACATCAATGCATCGAATTGAGAGTTTAAATGAGGAAAGTTTACCTTAAATTGCAGCTCTATATGCTCTATTTGACATGATAAAACACTTGAAACTTGGTTTGGAGACAAATAATTGATTGACAATGGATTGAGTTTTTTTAGAGGGTTTTGGTTATGAAAAGAGTTGAAGAGAATGAAATAGTTCGTGCATGAATATGGCATAAGTTGCATAGTTTCGAAAATACATCTTCGAAAATATACCTGAATGTTTAAATTTAATGTCTGGCTCGAAACATGGTATTTTTGGAAGTGCATTTCTGAATTCTTCCTAAAATTTAATTTTGGATGCATTCAGAGACACATCTCAAAAACACTTTGATTTAGGGTGCGTTCGGAGATACATCTCTAAAGGGCATTTTCGGGTTTTCAGGGTTTTTTTCCACCTCTAAGAGATGTACTAACAAATTTTCTTAAATCAATGAAAAACATTTTCGTTGTGTATCTATAAAGGATAATAAATTCAGAGAATTTTTTAATACACCATTTACTTTCTACCAGGCCTCTGGCGAAATGACAAAAATACCATCTATTTTTAGATATACATCTCCGAATGTACTATTTTCACAAAAAATTTAATTTCAGAGATACATATCCGGAAAATCTTATATTTTACAAAAAAAAATTCTTTTCGAATATGCATATCCGAATAAACTTTATTGTTGTATTTTTTTTAGAACAAACTTCATTTTTATGTGTATTTAAAATATTAATAAAGTTACTATGTTAATTAAATAGTTATTGATATGAAATAATTATTTTATTAATTAAAGTGTGAAGATTTTTTTCGATAACTCAATATTTAAATTCAATAGCATCAATATTTAATTATATATTTAATTAACTCAATATATAATTAATTTAATATATAATTAATTCAATAAAGTTTATTCCGAGATGCATATTCGAAAATATATTTTTTTTATTAAAAAAATAGTATTTTTTTAACATATATCTCTGAAATTAAGTTTTATGTAAAAATTGTGTGCTTGAAGATAAATCTCTGAAAATAATAGATATTTTTATCATTTCGTCAGAGATCAGTAGATATAAGAGTGTATTAAGAAATTCTCTAAATTCAATATATTCTCTTTTATTATTAGAATAATATTTAGATACAATTTTACAAGTGTGGCTCATATATTTTTCTAATACAAATATAATAAATATATTTAAATATTATTTAGAGAATAAAAATAAAAGAAAATCACATTAAAAAAAATTATACAATAAAATAAATATAAACTCAGATTAGAAATGGTACAACTTCAAATATTTTGACTTTAACAAGTAGTTTTCATAATTTCTTTGTATCATTGATAAAAGTTACAATCTTTCATAATTTGTTTGTATCATTGATAAAAGTTACAATCCATCACTGTGAACAAGATTTGAAATTGTTGACCACAAACAGCAAAATAAAACATTGTAAAGAAAAAGAAAAAGAAAGAAATCAGAATGAGATGCAGTTGTGATGACGTGTACCAATTATAGAAGAGAAAAAGAAATGGATAACGAGAAAGGAAAAAATAGGCAAAACCACAGAAACACAAGCATCACATCATTACGGAACTTAAACCTGACATGTTACCTCCACCACCAAAATTTATTATTATCCCTAACTCTTTCTCATTTTAATTACACAAAATCCTCAAACAAAAATAAATAAAAAATCACATTGGATCAATTATTATTATTATTATTATTATTATTGATGAAAAAGAAAAGAAGATTGTTAGCTGTTGAACATCAATGGTAGCATGTGTCGACATGGCTTTCTCCGTAATTCTTCCACCTTCTTACTCCTCCTTCTCCAAGCCCGCTTCATTCTTAAGCAACACTAGATTCCCGGGCTTGGGTTTGGGCCTGGGCCTGGGCTTTCAGTTTCAGAGAAAAGGAAGAACGATACGGAGACACCTCAAGCTCCTTATCGGCGCACAACTTTCCAACTCATTCTCTTTCACCTTCGGACTCGACTCTCCGGTATCTCCTTTTATTTTTATAATATTTATGGCTTTTGGACCAATTTTTAATTATATAATTAAATAACACACTTTGCGACTTTGTTTTTTTAATTATAAAATAGTGTCTGTCAATGATGTTGATCATAGATTACACTTCTTCACTGTGATCACATGATTATTGGATCTAATATTGCTATTAAATTGATTTTGTTTATATGCATTAATGAATGATTGAATTCTAACTAACTATTTGCATTTGGTTTTTCCTTTTCAGAATTTGAAATCCTTTCAGTCTCATGATGATCTATCAAAGTTGTCATGGAGGGGACCCGTTCCGGGCGATATTGCCGAAGTCGAGGCGTATTGTCGGATCTTCAGAAACTCCGAACGGCTACATTCTGCGTTAATGGATGCATTATGCAATCCGCTGACCGGAGAATGTAGTGTCTCGTATGAGGTTCCGTCGGACGAGAGGCCTCAACTTGAAGATAAGATAGTTTCTGTACTCGGATGCATGGTGTCGCTTGTGAATAAAGGAAGGGATGATGTTCTTACGGGAAGGTCGTTAGTTATGAATCCGTTTCATGATGCAGATGATAGCGCGATTGAGGATAAGCTTCCTCCGCTTGCTGTTTTCAGGAGCGAGATGAAAAGGTGTTCGGAGAGTTTACATGTTGCGCTTGAGAATTATTTAGTACCTGATGACGATCGGAGTTTAAACGTGTGGAGGAAGCTTCAGAGACTGAAGAATGTTTGCTATGATTCTGGTTTTCCTCGTCGCGAGGGTTATCCTTGTTATACATTGTTTTCTAATTGGAGTCCTGTGTATTTTTCGAGTTCTAAAGATGATACTGAATCCGAAGACTTAGAAACGGCTTTTTGGACTGGTGGTCAGGTAACGGAAGAAGGGTTAAAGTGGTTACTCGATAAAGGTTTTAAGACAATTATCGACATCAGAGCCGAGAATGTAAGAGATAATTTCTATCGAGCCGCTGTGAATGATGCTATTTCATCGGGAAAAATCGAGTTAGTAAAAATTCCAGTTGAAGTTATGACTGCACCAACAATGGAACAAGTTGTGAGATTTGCATCTTATGTCTCAGATAGCAGCAAAAGGCCTGTGTATCTTCATAGCAAAGAAGGAGTTTGGAGATCATCGGCCATGGTCTCCCGATGGAGGCAGTACATGACTCGCTCTTCCTCGCAGAATGTTTCTAGTCCACCAATTATTCCCTCTAACACGTCACATTCTACAAATAGTTCTGGGAAACTGCAGGATTCTTCCGTGACTGCAGCAAGATCCTCCCTCGAAAACGATATCACTTCATTGCAAGACAGTTTCGATTCAAAATCCGACATAAGTATCTCTGAAAATAGCTATGATGGAAAAACACAAGGTAATGCAGCCTTAAATGGAATTTCTTCTGATAATACAATATTGGAGACGGATGTCGATGCTGCTAATAAGGAAGGATCTTTTCCAAGTTTTATCACCAAAATCAACCCTTTAAAAGCTCAAGTTCCTCCTTGTGACGTCTTTTCCAAAAAAGTAATGTCCAATTTTTTGGGTAGCAGGAAGATCACATCTCCTGATTATATCGATTATCGAATTAAAAGAGCAAAATGCTTACCACAATTTAAGAATATGGCTATTAGAGGACTTCAAGGAAATCTGATTGTTTCTAATGGTGCTATTGTGGGTCCTGATAGCTTAAATGGATCAGCTCATGTTGATTATCCATCTGGAGAGGCCGGATTTGGAGTCGGCGGCAATGGGAAGTTAGTGAATGGGAATACTTCTAGTTCTGGTAGCACAACAGTTAACGGATTTAGTCAAGGGGAATTGCATTACACGAGTAATGCCGATGTCTCCGGTATTGTAAATAATGATAATGTCACAACTAAAACTCAAATTGTTGAAGATGGTACAGTTAAGGCTCAGTTAAGTTTACATGATGAAGAATTGAGAACCATTGAAGGTGATATGTGTGCGTCGTCAACGGGAGTTGTAAGGGTGCAGTCAAGAAAAAAAGCAGAGATGTTCTTGGTTCGAACAGATGGATTTTCTTGTACCAGAGAAAAGGTCACTGAATCTTCTCTGGCTTTCACTCATCCTAGCACCCAGCAACAAATGCTTATGTGGAAGTCTACACCAAAGAATGTGCTATTATTAAAAAAACTGGGGGATGAACTTTTGGAAGAAGCAAAAATGGTAATGATTTTCTTTGACTCTAATTAATGTATACATTATAATTTTTTACATATTTTTCTTCTTTCTATTATATAGAATACTTTGCAATTGTATAATTATGTTGCAAATATATATATATATGATAGTTTTGTATAGGTTCTCATTCTCAATCCAGTTTCTATATCTAATCTGCAGGTTGCTACTTTTCTACATCACCAAGAGAAAATGAATGTAATTGTGGAACCTGATGTACACGATGTATTTGCTAGAATGTCGGGTTTTGGATTTGTGCAAACCTTCTACAGCCACGATACCAGGTACTTGAATTTGAAATCGTAAATTAGTGTGAACTCACTTCACTTCTAAGCATTTTTGTTTCCTTATAAAGCTACTCCTTTGATTCAGTGATCTGCACGAGCGAGTAGATTTTGTTGCATGCTTAGGGGGAGACGGTGTTATACTGCACGCATCAAATCTTTTCAGAGATGCTGTTCCTCCTATTGTATCATTCAACCTTGGTTCCCTTGGTTTTCTGACTTCTCATAGTGTAAGATTTTCAAATCATAATTTATTTTATCATTAAATAATAAGGTAGGGTCAATGTCATTTGTTTCACTTCCATTCTACTTTATGTATGTAGTTTGACGACTTCAAGCAAGACTTAAGACAAGTCATTCATGGAAATACATCACGGGATGGTGTCTACATTACGCTTAGGATGCGTCTCCGATGTGAAATTTTTCGTAAAGGTAAAGCAATGCCGGGGAAAGTATTTGATATCCTCAACGAGGTGGTTGTCGACCGGGGTTCTAATCCATACCTTTCAAAGATTGAATGCTATGAACATGATCGACTTATAACCAAAGTGAGTTCTTATATTTTTATAATGTGTGCTCTAAATTCTATGTATATTTGGAACAGTCAATTTTTTAAACTTCATCTCAAAACAACTTTATGATGCAGTGCTATACCTTCTATATGACAAATGTCAATATGTCGGGTCTTTCAGGTACAAGGTGATGGAGTCATCGTTGCCACCCCTACGGGAAGTACTGCCTATTCTACTGCTGCTGGAGGTTCCATGGTAAGCTTGTAATCGAGTTTTTTTTTTACTATGGAAATATTATATTTATTGGCCTGTTATCTAATGGTCACAATTTTATCCACATCATTCTTAACAATATGAATTCAGTAAAACAGAAGCAAGTTCCTTGGAAAATTCAAATTATCAGTGGTTGTATGCAAAGCCAAACAAAGTAAAAATATTTCAAATGTCAAAACTTCAAACAAAGCAACATGTTATTAGAATACTTAGCTGGCCTCCAAAGTCTCAACTTTTCAATCAAACATGGTGTTACAGCCAAACCGATTAGAGGAGATTATGCATTTGAATCCATGCATTCTTTTTGCCTTAGTTAGAAAGTTAGAATAATGAAAATATTTTGGCATTGATGTGAATGAATGATATGTTTTGAGTTATTACGGAAGACAAATAATTGAGCTATATTTATACTAAATTATTAAGGGTCATGCTAACATGTGCTCTAAAGATACATGTTAAGGATACTATAATTAGAAAATTTTATATGTAATTAAATGTATTAAAATCATATTTAAAGTTTTAAAACATTGAATGCACGCGTTTCAAGAGAATATTTCTACAAATAGCTTATTAACTTGTGCCCTTAGGGCACATGTTAGCTTTTTCCAATTACTAATACTAGACTCCAAAATCCTAATCAAATTCAGAAACAAATAATAATGTATACAAAACTATTGGCATGAGTAAGGTATTAGTACAATACATGAATCATTGTTACTTAATGTTGTTATCTAATGTAATGAATATATGAGCAGATGCTGTTTTATACTGCAATTTATCATTTCATTCTTTGATGTTATTATGTAATGGCAAACGAAAACTGCAGGTCCATCCAAACGTTCCCTGCATATTATTTACCCCAATCTGTCCACATTCACTGTCATTTAGACCAGTCATACTTCCAGATTCTGCTCGATTAGAATTAAAGGTGAAGTTAATCATTCTCTGCAGCAAACAAATCATATTGAATATTAATATTTCATGATTTATTACTATTAATCTTCTAGTCAGAATATTGTTCCCTTTTTAAGCTATTTGCTAAGTTTGTCTTGGCAGCATTAACGAACTATGTTTTTGGATCTAGGCATTTATTTGAAATTAACATTTCAAGTTTTAGCTAAGGATATGATTACACGGTGTTTGTTCATAACAGATTCCAGAAGATGCTAGAAGTAACGCGTGGGTTTCGTTCGATGGAAAGAGAAGACAACAGCTCTCAAGAGGAGACTCAGTCCGAATACATATGAGTGAGCATCCCCTCCCAACTGTTAACAAGTTTGACCAGACAGGCGATTGGTTCCGTAGCTTGATTCGCTGCCTAAATTGGAACGAGAGGCTTGATCAAAAGGCGCTATAATGCAAACAAGGATTGTATAACTACTGTACATATTACTGAAGTAAGAGCAGATACCACTACCATTATATTGCATTGGCTTCCATTGTAAAGATAGGGTTTGCCAATGGTTTTTCAACATGATATAATGGCAATATTCAGTTGTATATACAAACTTTTTAAGAAAGAAATATATTGTTGATATTAGAAGTAGCTCATTGTTCAATTCTTGTGTTTTTATCTTAATCTTTCAACAAGGAAATAGTTAGTTGAGTTAGTTGAATGGGAGTATACTACTATACTCTAAAGAGTAGATTCTGGTTTCTGTTGAGGCGATGCCGCCTATTTGAAAGTGAAAGCCAGGTTACTTTGTTGACAAGCTATCTTTTGTAGATGGTGACTTTGGTATCACTATTATAGTTAGGAGAGATTGATGATTAAAATAAGTTATTTTGATGAGAAAATGGTTTGTTAAAGAAAGAGATAGAGAGGAAATGTCTAAAGTGGAAGAGGGATGTTGATGCAAAATTAATATATTTCCTTCGCATGCTTTTGGCATTTGTAAGTTTAGGAGAATATTTTTATTAATTTATATCTTTAGTTTTATTTATTTATTTTATATAAAAACAGATAATGTTATGAAAATGACATAAAATGCTTAAAACCTAAATATTAGAGATAGAGGGATTATAATTTTTGAAGTCTGGTCGGTGGTATATATTTAAGTTTTTTTTTTTGGAATAATTAGGTATTAAATTTTTTTTCGCAAATAATCATGTTTCGGAGAAAATTACGCAAATAACCATGTTTTAGAAAACCCCATAAGGGAGGAGCCAACCCAGTTGGCGCATGCACCTTATTTTAAAGGGGATGCGCCATCTCACTTGGCGCCTATGTGTAAAAGGTTTGTCTTAAGCCAAGTGAGATGGCGCCTTAGTGCAAATGGCAGGCAACTTTTTGCGTTTTCTATTTTAAATGCGGTATGTTACGTAAACGATATATGATCAAGAAAATTGACTTTTTATTTACACAATATGATTACACACATAACGATTACATAAAAAAATACAACTTAATCAGTGGTCCTTCGGAACCCGGTAATGACCCCCGGTTCCGCATCCCCGTCCTCGCCTTTCCCGTGCTGTGTTTCGTCGCCTTTCCTGTTGTGGCAGGGTCGATGGCCCAGCGAAGTCAATATGTTCCGAATCCATGAAATTGGTTGGATCTCCATATCTAGAAGATCTGCTTTGGTACAGTCGATTACCCATACCCTCAAAGTTTGGTCGTGTTGGTGGTGGATGAGGTTCCATGGTTGGTCTGTAGCACTGGTCGTCTGAGTACGGGAGATAGAAAGGAAATGGATCTTGGGGGTGTTTGGTATTGGGAATGTTGGGTGCTTTGGTGATATGGTGATTGATGGTAAGTTGGGTCGGTTGGTTCATAATCTTCGGACAATCCCAGATCAGAGCTAAGGTTAGATGTTGAGGGACCCATATTGGGATATGACTGGAATTATGTGTGGGGTATGCGGGTGTATTGGTATTGTGATTGAAATTGTGGTTGGGTGTGAGGCACATGAGGGTATTGGTACTGAGGTGGTGATTGTGGTTGGTTGTGGGGCGTGTGGGTGTAATCGTATTGTGTTTGTGGTTCTGTTTCGTCGGGGAGGTTGGTGGGAGGTTGATGTGTGTTGGGTTTGTTGTTGGGGAAATGAGGGTTGTGCCCATTGTGTTCGTGGGTCAACCAAATATTTTGGATGAGACACGTGTATTTCTGGGGTACTAACTGATCTGTACCAAGCTAAATATTGATCCGTGTGTCGCATATTACCACAGTTGAGGAAAATTGGGAATTGCAAGACATGTCGGTGACGCCTCTGCCACTTCTTACACCATTCTGGAGTAAAATATTTCTAGTTGGTAAGACCCCATTGGGCGTCGACCCTTTTGAGATGCCACGGGGACAAACAAGTTGAATCATAGGGTATCTCTTGATGCATTCTAAATTACATCATGACACGGTCGATGTGGTGCATCTCCACAATATTGAACCGTATGATTGCAGTCTTTGCGCTCCAAATTGTTGCATCCTCGGAGTTTGGTTCATGGTCCAAACCCAAATATGGTCTTCAGACAAACTACGGATAAAATTAAATCAGCTTAATGAAAACGTAATAAATAAATAATTTAAAAGTAGAAAAGTTGAAAGGTATGACATACATCATCCGGGCCAAGGTAATCCAATAGATTGCGATATAGAGCGACATTGAATCTTGGATTCTTGCCGTAATTCATACCCCTCACGCAGTACCTAAAGGAATTGAAAAATATTTTATTTTTATCATATATTTGGTGAAGAGATGAATAATAATAAATGATATAAGTTAATGACTTAGTTTGTTGCGTATGGGAAAATGAATGTGTTATTGTTGACGGGGTTTAGGGACTTCATTCTCCACCAACCCCAGGCTTGAAGTAAAAAAGCGCAGCCATAAAATGTACATTTTTCCTTGATTGCATTTTTACACAAGGAACTGTATAGATGGGCTAATACAGCAGAATCTCAACTATACTTTCTAGTTTTTTCAAAGTCTCTAAGTAAATTTAAATACATAAAATTTACACTATTTCTCGTACATCCGGGAAATAAAAGGTTCCAAATAGTATCATTATATAATTTCTAGCTTTTATCATCTTAGCTAGCTCAGAGGAATTTTCGTTCGATTCCAGAGTCGCATAATGATTTTTTAGCTCAGTAAGTAGTATACCCTGACCTCTTACACCACCACCTTCAACCATATCCCTGCCCAACAATTCTTCACACAGAGAATTGGGTTGTTGAACCGACTCGTTAACCGCCTTACCGTCGACAGAGAGACCCAATAACATGTACACGTTCTCTAGTGTGATGGTACATTCACCTATTGGTACATGAAATGTATGGGTCACTGATCTCCACCTTTCCAACATTGCAAGTATGAACTTTGAATCAATTGTGCAGTTGGAGATCTTTATAACATTTCTGAAACCTGCGTATTCGAGATAGGGTACGATCAACGGGTCGGGAGCAAGGTAGTTATGTGACCGAATTCTGAATCTTTTAGTATCTTAAGTTAAGAATGTAAAAAGTGTAAGAGACGATAAGATGAATGTTGTACCCCAAAATTTTCCCTCTCATTTATCAAGTATTTTCTCACAAGATCTCATTTGGTTCAAGATTGCACAAGGATTGATCAGCTCAAGACACCTCCTTAAGCATTGATGACTGAAATTAGGGTTTGAGATTGCACAAGGATAATTGAACTTTTAATGCCTCATATGAATTTCATAGATCATTATGGACCCTAAAGATTGCTCATGTCAAGTTTCAAGTCTTGGATCACATTTTTGCTCAGTCAATTGATCAATTGACCTAAAAATCAGTTGTATTGGGGAAAAAGTCTACTGTCGTCAATTTACAGTCAAACTTCATAATTATTGATCCATATCAACATTGTAAACTCATATATGTCATTTGATCAAGTTTGGACCATAATTCCTCAAGAAATTTGATCAGGTCATCAAAAGAGCAAAATGGTCAAAATTAAGGTTTTGACTGAGAAAGGGTAATTTCTGATTTTTGACCTAGAAAATGGTTAATTGGTTTGAGACATGATCTTAAGGTTTCAAATGCATCATTTTGACCTAATTGCATGACTTAAAACATTGCTCATGGTCATTTGATTTATAGTTGATTTTCAATCAACTGATCAGAAGTCAACTGTATACTGAAAAGTCAAACTTTGACTTTTTGGTCAAAATCAAGTGTCAAAGATCACAATTCATCAAAACATGTCAAAACATAAAACTTGTTCATCAAGAAATCAAAAAGTCAAGATTTTATTTTTAAAAAGTCAAAGTTTCCAAACTTAGAAATTTTTCTAAGTGTTGAAAACTTCATATTTTTTCACAACTTTGAGTCAATTTTTCACCATGATGAAAGATGATTCAAAGGAAACTTTCAACATGAAAGTTGTAGATCTCAATGAGATGTAAAACATTTTTTTACACAACTTCTCCTAGAAATGCATGGATGTCAAGTTATGATTTTGTGAATACATGTTCATGAAACTTGGAAACTTAGTGAAAATTTACCCTAGTTTAGGCAGGATTTTGACCTAACTTCATGGAAATTTTTCACATAGTTCGAAGGGGAATTTTTGAAAGTGATTCAAAGGGGTGTTTTAGAGCATATTACAAGATTTCTAAAATGTCCAAGAACTCCTTGAGATCATGTTTGAGCAAGGAGAATCGAAGGCATGAAGTTGGCATTTCATTCTTAAATTATAGGTCATTTTCATGATGAACAAGAATTCAAATCCATGCTAGGATGCACAATTTTTGCTTTGCAGGCCTCAAACTTGCTTGACACTCCATAATTAATGTTTGGTACAACTATTATAGGCTTCAACTCAAGCATTCAATGCATTGCACATGCTTAATGCCATTTTAGGAAGAAAGTGCACATTGCCATTTTGGAAAAGTAGCTTTTATGCACAAAATCAGTTCTTGAGATTTGCAATTGTTTTCTTCTGATCACATATAACCTATAACCCAAAATAAACTTATCTAAAGCCTATTGGAACTCAGGTCATGCTTGTACTATGCCTTAAAACCATGTTCCCACTTTTCTTCAAAATCAAGCAACATAGCCATAACTCTACATCTTGTGATTCTGACCCTCTCAAGCCTCAGAACCTTTTCCTTACTTATGCACAAGTTGTTGGCATCAAAACACACGAATACACAAGCTCCAAAACACACACAAAACTCAGAACTGTATCACAAAACTCCATTGTTGCATAATCTGACCAAAAACTAGAAACTCACATCTCCCTCGTGCGTTTCCAAGCCTTTTGGTTCCTAAAGCTTCTAAGCATCAAATACAAACCATCCAAAATCCTTTTGCCTAACTGTAACACCTCTACCATAAAGTTGCATTTTCAAAAACAGGGGTATGCAAGTGGACTTCTCCAGAACTCCTAA